TAAAATTGTTTGACACCCAGAATAATTTGGTCTTAAAATATTCGTTGTCAAAGAACATGACATGTAAGACTGTGATCAGTTCGAATGAAGTACAATGTCTAAAAATTATTGTTGACTACAAGGGTAGTTGGTTGTGGCATTTGAGGTTTGGAAATTTGAACTTTCGATCACTCAATCAGTTGATTACTCAAGATATGGTTACTGGTATCTCAAGTCTTGAGATGCCCGACAAACTTTGTGAAGGTTGTTCAGTCAAAAAGAAATCCATAAATTATTTTGTTTTGAATATACCAATGAGATCATCCTGCATACTCAAAGTGGTACATTTAGATGTATGTGGCCCGTTCGAAGAACATACCATTGGTGGAAACATGTATTTTGTTTCGTTTGTTGATGAGTTTAGTCGAAAGTTGTGGATCTATGTGATCAAAAGAAAGGATGAAGTATTTGAAATCTTTAAGAGATTCGAGATACTTGTCGAAAACCAGAGTGAGAAGAAGATCAAAGTTCTGCAAATAGATGGAGGTGGCAAATACACATCCAAGATGTTTGGAGATTTCTATGCAGAACATGGTGTTAATCATGAGGTAACTCCTCTTTATATGCCTCAACATAATGGAATTACAGAAAGAGAAAAAAAAATCATATTGGATATAGCGAGATGCATGTTGAAGCAAAAGAATTTTCCAAAATCCTTATGGGAAGAAGTTGTTTTGACTGCAATTTATATCCTGAACGGGTACCCTACCAAGAAGTTGGAGAATAAGGTTCCTGAAGAAGTATGGAATGGAAAACGACCATCAGTGAGTCATCTGAAGATGTTTGGATCTATGTGTTATAAGCATGTTCCTGATACGAGAAGAAGGAATCTTAATGATAAGAGTGGACCTATGATTCTGGTATGATATCATAAGACTGGTGCATACATGTTATTCATTCCAATTAATAAGAAGATTTTGTTGAGTCCAGATATTATGATTGATGAAAATTCTGCCTGAGATTGGAATTTTGATGATGCAATTAACAAGCCATTGATGCGCTCTGATTTTGATGAAGAAAATGATGAAGTCGAAGTCAAAGAAATTACTGAGAATACAGTCGAAGTCGAAGTTGAAGCAAATGCTGACATTCCCGACTAAGTCTAAGTCGAAGAGGTTGTGGCTAGGATAGCCAAAGACCTCAAAGAACTAGAGTTTGTCCAACTAGACTTCAAGACTATGAAGTAACTGGTGATGATGAAGTAACACCATACGGAGAATTAGTTCATTTTTCCTTACTTACAGGTGTTGAACCAATCAACTATAGCGAGGCTTTAATGATTAAACAGTGGAAGTTAGCTATGGTCGAAGAATTACATGCAATCGAAAGAAACAACACATGGAAGTTAGTTGAATTGCCATCACAGACAAAAGCTATCAAAGTAAAGTGGGTGTTCAAGTTGAAACACGGTGCTATGGGTCAATAGCAAGACATAAAGCAAGATTAGTAGCTTTAGGATTTCATCAAAGAGCATGACTCGACTACTCTGAAGTAGTTGCTCCAGTAGCAAGACTGGAGACAATTCGACTAGTGGTAGCATTGGCATGTAACCAAGGTTGGTCGACATTTCACTTAGATGTGAAGTCAGCATTTCTGAATGGTCCTTTAGACGAAGAGGTCTATGTCAAACAACCTCCATAGTTTGTGATTCAAAAGGAAGCAAGTAAAGTATATAATTTGCACAAAACACTCTATGGTCTCAAGCAGGCACCTGGGGCATGGAACAAGAAGATCAACTCATACTTAGTCGAATTGGGATTTGTCAAATGCAAATCAGAGTATGGTGTTTATATTTAAGTTATAGCATAAGATATAACAATCATATGCTTATATGTCGATGAATTTCTAGTAACTAGAAATAGCTTGGAGAACTTGTCGAAGTTCAAAGAGTTGATGATGAAGGAATTTGAAATATCGGATCTGGAAAAATTGTCTTATTTCTTAGGAATGGAATTTCAAATGTCGAAGCAAGATATGGTGTTACATCAAAAGAAGTATGTCAAAAAGATACTCAAAATATTCAAAATGGATGATTCGAATCCTATATCCCCACATGTCGAACCAAATATAAAGTTGGAGAAGAATGGAAAGGAAGACAAAGTCGATGTAACTTTGTTCAAACAAATTGTGGGATCTCTGAGATATGTGCGTAACGGTCGACCTGATATAGGTTTCACAGTCGGATTAGTGAGCAGATTCATGGGTGAACCAAGATTGTCGCACATGAAGGCTACAAGAAGAATTCTGAGATGCTTAAAAGGATCGATAGACTATGGAATTCTATTTCGACGAAATTTTGAAGGCAAAGAAGCTACATTTACTTGTTGTTCAGATGCTGGTTGGTATGGTAATAAGGAAGATAAAAAAAACACAATTGGATATTTCTTTCAAGTATTTGATGCCCCAGTCTCATGGTGTTCGAAAAAGCAATATGTGGTGCCATTGTCATCGTGTGAAGCTGAATATATAACAGGATCTTATGTTGTATGTCAAGCAATTTGGATCAGATCGGTACTTGAAGAAATTATCGTCGAAGTAAAGAAACCTCTTGCGTTGCAAATCAATAACAAGTCAACCATAAATCTAGCGATGAATCCAATTCTGCATGAAAGAAGTAAGCATATAAAAGCTAGATTTCACTTCTTGAGAAAAAAGGTAAATCAAGGTGAACTTGAAGTAAGGCATTGCTCAAGTGAAGCACAGTTGATCAACATTTTCACCAAAGAATTAAAGATCGACGGGTTCCTGAATTTGAGAAAGAAATTAGGAATAGTTCAGATTGACTATTTTTGAGTATGTTCGATAACTTGGATTAAGGAGTGTCTTGAGATATTAAACCTAATCCAAGTTGTGTAACCTAAGTCCAGACTCAATTAGGGTTTGTTAGCCTACTTAGTATATAAATTAAGTGTATATAAATAGTTATAGTCTGTATCATTATTTGTACAATTCAAGCAAATAATATAATCCTTATTTTTACAATCAACCCCCCATAGCCATTCATGTTGTTATCATCTTGTTCTTTCTCCGTTATTTCCATCTCTTCTAGACCATCTTTATTGTTCCTCATCACCATCTCCATATAAGATCTAGTTTTAGGGTTTTAATCAAGTATTTTTGTATGTTATTTATCTTAATCTTTTTAGTACTCCTCTCTTGAAGGTCCACCTCCGCCACACTCTTCCAAGGGCTCGCCGGAGAAACATGTGTGGAGGCAGTCGCATTAGGTGACACAAACCCTAGCATAAGGTTTTCCATTCAGACGTTCGATTTCATTATGTAAATTTTTATAACCAATTTTGTGATTTTAATGTATTTTTAGTCATAATTAACACACTCCTTCCAAAAAATAAATAAGTATAATTTAACAAATGTCTATAGAAAATACTAACTTACACCCATTTATTTTAAAGATGTATTTTAATAACATGTACCTTAGGGTACATTTTACTATTTTTTTAAGGGTACTTGCTAAAATACTCATTCATAAATATAAAATCACTTCCTCATACAATATAATATAATTATGACTCAAGTAAATATTAATTTATTCAGTTTTTAAATTCTATTATTTATCTTGTCAAATATAAAATTTTATTATTTATAAAATTTATTACTATCTTATGTCTAAAATTATTTTAAATATAATTATTTTTTCATATTAATTTATTAATATAATTTTCATTCCGTGGGATATAATTATTAAGTATAAATATTGATTAATAATTATTTTTATCTTAGTCATCATTCTCACCCATTAAAAATAAATTTTATCATAATTAATACTGTTACATCTACAAAAAAAAAAGTATTGGTAAGAAAAAAAATTAAAAAAAAGTGAAATTGAGAAATAAAAAAATTAGATTTTAAAATAAGATAAAAAATTAAAAAATTAAAAAACATGAATAATGAAGAAAAAAACATTTTTTTAAGAAGTTAAATTGTACTAATAGAATTCAAAGAGAGACATTAAATTATATTAATAGAATTCGAAGAGAGATATTAAAAATAACATATTCTCAAGACTTAAGTCTTTGTCACTAAACTACACATAAATAAATAAAATAAAAGTACAATTAAATTTATTTTTTTACTTTAGAGGTCTATGATGCATTTATTATTTTTTAGAATTGTGGACCACTTCTGATATATCTCAATTCGTGTGTATTCTTTTTATTTATTATTATAATATATACTTATTACAATTAAAAAAATAGTATTATTATTTACTTATTTTTGTTAATCGTGTATGCAGTTGAGATGATTAGAAAATGGGAAAAAAACTTGTACCGATTGATTAGCGGTTCATTTTGGAGAACAGCTTGTGCTTGCATGTGAGTGTTTGAAATAAATTAATCTTTGCTGATTCTAAAGTAGTTGCCAAAAACAAAAGCATCAATACTAAAAAAATTCTTGATATAACAATAGTATAATTTACAGATAAGATAAAGACTTTACCAACTATTTTCCGGTTTTGATTTGATAGTTATTGCCAGCATCAAAACCAAACCTAACAAGCAACAAAATCAACCAGATCTTAATACCTTAGTTACATAAACATTAAACACTCGTCCATATCCATCTGTTATTAATCTACTACTATATATTATAATAACAGCATCATTAACTCCTGCTTTTATTGCAACACAGTCAGTTACCAACTCACCTCTCTTTCTTTATTCACTCATTATGCTTTCACTCCATTTACCAGCTCAGAATCTTAACCTTAAAAAAAAACAAAAAAAAACTAGTACATACAAGAATCTAGGACTATATCAAATTGTTAAGGTTGCAAGATCTTCCTTCCTAGTTCCTTTGTTCTTATGTCTTAAGGTATAATATTCAAAGCTTTTCATTCTTGTTTTCTTGTGTCTCTATTTCTTTCCCACCTCTTTGTTATTGCATGTGCCAGGGTTCAATTGAAAGAGAAAAAGGAAAGTAGTTGATTCTTCATCACTATGATGTGGAATCATAGAGAAGGTTGGTTGTTTGTTATATTCATCTATGTATTATTATTAGCAGTTTTTCCTTTGGTGTGTTTTTCTGTAAACTTTGTTCCTATAGATAATTACCTTATAGATTGTGGTTCACATACAAATACTTCTATAGGTAGTCTCAATTTCACATCAGATCAATTCTATAAGAATTTTCTTTCCACACAAGAAGATATTCTTGCAAATACTACTATCAATTCCACCACTGGTTATTCACCTCTTTATCAAACTGCAAGAATCTTCAATTCACCTTCAGAGTATAGTTTTCCTGTTAACAAAAAGGGTAGGGTTTGGATTAGGCTTCATTTCTTTCCGATTTCGTATCGAAATTATAATCTTAGTGCTGCCAATTTTGCTGTTACAACCCAAAATAATGTGCTGCTTAGTAACTTTAGTGTGTCTGGGAAAAATGGTGTTATGAAGGAGTACTTAGTGAATGTGACCTTAGACGAAGTTGTTGTAACGTTTACCCCGTCGATGAATTCGACTGCTTTTGTGAATGCGATTGAAGTTGTTTCTGTGCCTGATGACCTGATTCCCGATGATGCTACCGCGTTGAGTCTGCGGAGAAGTTATACGGGGCTGTTGACACAGGCACTCGAGACGGTTTTCAGGATTAACATGGGTGGTCCAAGTGTTTCTTTTGGGGTTGATCCGCTTCGTCGAACTTGGGTTCCTGATGTAAGCTTTCTTATACTACCTAACCTTGCTAGAAACTTTTCGAGTATAGGTGCTGTTAAGTATGTGAAAGGGGGACCAACAGAAAATATTGCTCCGGGTAGTGTCTATGGTACTTTAACCGAGATGAACTCGGATAGTGATCCGCGTAGCAATTTCAATGTGACATGGAAGTTTGATGTGGAGCCGGGATTTCAATACCTTGTTCGACTTCACTTTTGTGATATTGTGAGTAAGGGTCTTAATGAACTTTATTTCAATGTTTATATTGATTCGTTGTTAGCTGCAAAGGATCTTGATCTCACTGCTAAGACTAATAATGTTTTGGCTACTCCTTATTTTATGGATTTCGTTACAACACCGTCGGTCGATAATAAAATTCTTGTAAGTATTGGCCCTTCTGATGCAAATAGTGATTACCCTAATGCCATTTTGAATGGACTTGAGATCATGAAAATGAACAACTCTAAGAGCAGTCTCAGTGCATCTACAGCAGTGATTTTGACTAGTAATCATGGTTCAAGTTCTAAGAAAGTTGGCGCGATAGTTGGTGTGTGTCTTGGGATAGTTTGCGCGGTGGTTGGAGTTTTCTTTGTAGTTTGCATGAGAAGAAGACGGTTGGTACAACAAGGGCATTCAAAGACATGGGTTCCTTTATCGATCAAAGATGGAACTTCTCACACAATGGGAAGTAAATATTCAAACGCCACAACAGGAAGTGCTGCTTCGAATTTCGAGTATCGCTTCCCATTTGTGGCAGTTCAAGAGGCCACAAACAATTTTGATGAGAGTTGGGTTATTGGCGTAGGTGGTTTTGGTAAGGTTTACAAAGGTGAATTAAATGATGGAACTAAAGTTGCTTGTAAGAGGGGCAACCCTCGGTCGCATCAGGGACTTGCAGAATTCCGAACCGAAATAGAAATGTTGTCTCAGTTCCGTCATCGCCATCTGGTATCATTGATCGGATATTGTGATGAAAGGAATGAAATGATCTTGATATATGAGTACATGGAGAACGGAACTGTCAAGAGTCATCTATATGGCTCGGGTCTTCCTAGCTTAAGTTGGAAAGAGAGGCTCGAGATATGCATCGGAGCAGCTAGGGGACTTCATTACCTTCATACCGGCTATGCTAAAGCGGTTATTCACCGTGATGTAAAATCTGCAAATATCCTTCTTGATGAGAACCTCATGGCAAAAGTTGCCGATTTCGGGCTATCAAAGATCGGACCAGAAATTGATCAGACGCACGTGAGCACAGCCGTGAAAGGAAGTTTTGGCTACCTTGACCCGGAGTATTTCAGAAGGCAGCAGTTAACAGAGAAATCTGACGTGTATTCATTCGGGGTAGTTTTGGTCGAGGTTTTATGTGCAAGACCTGTTATAGATCCATCTCTTCCTAGAGAAATGGTGAATTTGGCCGAATGGTCGATGAAATGGCAGAAAAGAGGAGAACTTGTGCGAATTGTGGATCCAACTCTTGAAGGGAAAATGAGACCGGATTCTCTAAGAAAATTTGGAGAAACTGCTGAAAAATGTTTGGCTGATTTTGGTGTTGATAGGCCTTCTATGGGAGATGTATTGTGGAATCTGGAGTATGCTCTTCAACTTCAAGAGGCTGTTGTTCAAGGCGATCCTGAAGAAAACAGCACTAATATGATCGGTGAACTCTCTCTGCAAATCAATAATTTTGACCATGAAGAAAGTGTTTCGGTTGCGAAATTTGAAGCTTCGAGTCTTGATGATCTTTCTGGTGTTTCTATGAGTAAAGTATTCTCACAGTTGGTGAAGTCTGAGGGACGGTGACGTCGAATAATACATTTAAATTCTGCATATTAGATTACTTTTAATGGTTTTGGTGTAATAGAGTTGTAAATAATGACCAATTTTCTAAGTATGTGATTATGAGAAATGGTCATTTTCAGCATGCTGTAACTTGTTCTTTAATTACAACACTTTTACGTGCATATTTTTGCAAATGATATGTGTCAAATTTGAGAAAGGACAATTTAGCATAAGAGATGCCAGTGAACTGTGGTCACCTTAGTTTTTTATTTTGAATCACGATTCCTGTGATCACAGGTTAAATTCTTAAATTCTGACACCAAACAAATAAAGACAAAAAAGACCTGCCTTAGAGTTTAGGCTAGAGCTCAAACCACCATAATAGTGACAGGACAGAAAACACTAAAAGGGCAACGAAAACCACCAACCATAGTAACAGAATAGAAAACACTAAAAGGGCAACAAAAACCACAAACCAAAGTCAATTTTAGAACCAAGATAAAAAAATACTTGCTGCTATTGGTTAAGAGAGAAGATGGGGTTCTGAAATCAATCTGTAAAAGTACATGAATTTTTTTTCAGAATGTCACGTTTTTCAAATCAATTTTCTAGAATGTCATCTTCTGAAAAAAATGATCCAAAATAGCGCGAATGTGGACAGTAAAGGCTCTCGCCAACTCAAATGGCGTGAAAGGGGCTGATAATTTTTTTTCTTCATTTTACGTTATTTATATTAATAATTTTAATTATTTAATTTTATTATTAATTATAAATAATTTAATAAACTATTTAATTATAAAATTAATTAATAAAATATTAATTTAAAAACTTAAATAATTATAAACTTAAAATAACTATTTAACGATTACAATTAAATAATAAATTTTTTAATTAAATAATAAAATTTCACAATTACAATCAAAATACTAAATAAAATAATACAGTTAAAAGTAGTTATAAATAACAATACATGAATAAAATTAGTTAGAAGGGTCTGCATTATTGAGGCGATGCGGACATTTTTTCCGCATATGTGGTTGTTGACAGATACCGCATCGTCTTTTTATTTTCTCAACAGTGTCCATTTCAGTTCTAATGTGAGTATTGTTTGGGCGACCTTTTTTGTTTCGTCGCATCCTTTCATCATGCAAAAGAGTATCACCCAAATATGGAGGTCAGCTATCTTCTTGGGGAACACCGAAACTTTGTATGTAAACTTTGAAGACGTTTATAACTCTATACAAGTCAGGACTAAACGTAGTATAGTCGTTGTTAATGTGAGAACACGCTGCGATACCATGTGAGCAAGGCGGATGAAAAGTTTGAAATCTCCCACAGTCACAAGTTTGTGTTTGGAGGTTGACGTTGAAATGAATAAGTGGCCGACAATTCCTATTATTAACCGTCTCTTGAACCACGAAATAGTGACTTTCACAGTCAAAATCCAAGACATTAGATTTTTCTACTTCTTCTACAATTCCTTTCATACAGTTATATGTGAATTCCTTTCCCGATGACAATTTTTTTGTCCAATCCTTTCCTCGCTTACTCCACAATGTTCCCCTCCTGTAGTATGTTGATCTTACAAGTGATGTAATAGGTAAGTTTCGGGTTTCCTTCAACAGAGTTCAAAGATTCAGTTGGTTGTCATGTAACCCCACTGTGCTCCTCCGTCGTAAGCTCGCGGCCATTTTTCTCTTGGAAGGTTCTCTATCCAATTGAAAGTCTTTGTGTTTGTTTGGCGGATCTCCTCCCGATAATATGCGTATGTAGACTCATTAATTGCATACGCTGCGTAAAAGCATTAAAAACATTAATATAAAAGAAATATATATTGAAATGCCATGTTAAAAATTAGAGAGTAATTACCAATGTTAACAACTGTCTTGCGAAGGTTTTGGTCCTTGATGGCTCGCATGAAGTTTTGTGCGATGTGCCTAATGCAATACACATGCACCGAGGGTGGGTTCTGCCAGCCATTATCTGGGTTATTGTAGGCACTCTTAATGGACTCATGTCGATCAGATATCAAATATAAGTCTGATTGGGGTGTGACGTAGAGTCTCAAATTTTCCAGAAAGAAACTCCAAGCCCCCGGTCTCACCTTCGACCAATGCATATGCGATTGGGAAAATGTTACCATTCCCATCTTGTGCAACAGCCAGAGCAATGTTCCCCTATATTTTCCATACAGCCATGTACCATCTACATGCATTATAGGTTTACAATGTGCGAAACCCCTAATACAAGGTTGAAATGCCCAAAAAAGGCGATGGAAAATTCTTGCACCACCAATTTGTTCCTACATTTGAATATACAGGAAGTGTTTCATGATCTATGACGGTACCTGGGAGAAATTATTGCATGACTAGCAACCACTGCGGAAGGTTGTTATAAGAGGCCTCCCAATTGCCATAAATATCTTTGATTGCTCTGTTCTTTGCAATCCATGCCTTTTTGTAAGACACCGGTAGCCATAAGTCGTACGAATATGAGCAATAATATGTCTAACCTTGATTGTTGAGTCACTGTCAACAAGAGGTCTGATGTTATGGGCGATCATCTTTGAGGTAAGCTTTTGGTGATATTGAGATATAGCAGTCGACATGCAAGTGTGTAGCCCTCCAATTCTGCCAATAACTCATTTACCACACCCCTCCCTTAACGAAGCTCTACATGTGAAGTTGCATCCCTCCTTTTTACATTTAATTAAATATCGTGTCGGATCAGACTTACAAACCTTAAAAGTATAAGAATTTTTTATGTGATACTCAGATATTGCATGGAGACATGCTTCTTTGTTTTCAAACGTCATACCAACCTTTAAGTTTTCACGTGACTCACGTTCGTCTAAGGGTTCAAAGACTGAAATTGGTTCCACACATTCAAATGAAACATTTCTTAAGTGATAAGGTGGGTTGTATAGATCAAGTATAGGAGTCGATTCTGCCTCCAGTCTGTCATCGTCACCTGACTCGTCATTGGACCCACTAAACAAATTAATTTATCTGGCATCGTCGGAGTCAGTATTATCACTCACTTCCTCTTCCGGAAATATTAGCTCGTTATGTTGTGCTTGGACAGACTCTTCTTGTTGGGAGACCTGACTTTGTTGATATGCATGAGTTTGTGATGATTGTGTTGGATATACTTCATGTATTTGTTGAAAACAAATATACAACTCAATTGTTTGTTGACTGCAAAACCTTGAGTGGCATTGTAGTATTGAACGGACATCTTCATCGTCTTCGATTATTTTTGCAGTGTTGTATGTGACATTGTGATCAACTGGATTAACTATTGGAAATCGATAAAAAAATAGAAGTTACATGTTGTTGTAAAGTTTCTTCTATTTTTTTCGTCGGGCTAAATCACTTTTTCGATGAATATTTAAAATATGTGTATCTGTATTTTGAAAGACCACTCAAATATTATCGTCGGTAAAAATATTACCATTGAAATGTAAGAGACAAGAAATATGATTTTGTGGCATTGTGTTTGAAGTAATATTCAATTGTTTGAATAAGAGATAACTACGTTGGTATTAATAAACAAACAGCTATGTTGGATTTATTGCATGCATGTATTAATAATAAACAAACAGCTATTTATTGGATTTATTGCGCGCATGTTGTCGCCAAGTCAAATGGCGTGAACATGCTCAGGGTACACTCGCGGCAACTCAAATGGCGTGAAGCCTTGGTAGGCGCCAAGTCAAATGGCGTGAATAGTACACCCGTGCCAACTCAAATGGCGTGAAGTCTTGGTATGCGCCAAGTCAAATGGCGTGAAGCATTGGTAGGCGCCAAGTCATACGTGTCATGCCTATAAATGCAACATTAAATGATTCTGTTTTCATATTAAAATGACTCTGATACTTTGTTCAGTATACATTATTCCGTATAATTCACAAGTTGTTATGTTTGATTATAGAAACGCATTTTCTAATCCTTTGGTTGTACGGCTTATGGAAAGATCTAAACTCATTCACTTGAAAAATCAATTACATCAAATCACAAATATTAATAGGAGCATTACAGAGATATCTTTCAACCGGGTTATAATCAACGAAAATGAAGTGTTGATGCAGCATATTACAAAGTTAGTTACAAATACAGATGTATTTAACATGTTTGAGGATTTTCGAATTGGGGTTAATAAAACACCATTTGAGTTGTATGTCAGGTTTAGTAGATCAGCCGATGAAGTTTTATTATTGTGTACAAAACCGTGTAATTTACAATATTCTCAATAAGTATACAAATTTATATTTATTCAACTTTCATTAAATTACTCTACTACATACCAACTCTAATTAAATTACTCTACTACATACCAACTCTAATTAAATTACTCTACTACATACCAACTCTAATTAAATTACTCTACTACATACCAACCACAATTAATTAAATTATTCAACTACCAACTATCATCACTCTGAATTTTTTCCTATAAATAATCAATCACTCTCACCTCATTTTTTTCCACAAACACACTACATTCTATTCACTACACACTGTCTACTCTCTCCTCATTTATTCAATGTTGTAAGTATTTTTGATTTATTCAATATTATTCATATTATTTATTTTTGAGTTTACAATATTAGTTTTATTCATAATTTGCATAAAAATGTGAATATTTTTCTATATTACTTATTTCTATTACAGATTGATCATACTTATATTTCAAAATGGAGAATTCGTGCTCACAAACCTCTAAAGCCACATAAAGTCATAATCCCTTACCTTCACCAACCTGGTTTCTACCATGTATCTACAATAGGATCCCCACACATCGATTCAAGGTTAATTATAGCCTTACTAGAACGGTGGAGACCCGAAACTCATACGTTTCATCTTCCAAAAGGTGAATGCACAATTACATTGGAATATGTGAGTATGTTATTGGGGCTTCTTGTAGATGGTAAAGCGGTAAATGAGTTAGGTGGTGGTGCATGGGGTTCTATTTTAGGAGATGAACCACCACAAAGTGATAAGGGAATGACATGGCTTAAA